GGATGCAAGAAGATGACCAAATGTCCTGATAAAAGTTATGGAGACAGCTTCCATGCAATGATCGACCGGAGTATGTTCCAGAAAGGGCTTTAGGAGCATCATGGAAGCATGCAGTGTTGAAATTATAAAGGCCAAAGCTAGGCCGGAGTTGAAACTGGTGAGGGATGTGAAGGGCAATAACAACATCTGTGGGTACATCAACAGCAAAAGGAGGACTAAGGAAATTGCGGCGTTGCTGCTTAACGGGGCAGAGCACCTAGTGGCACAGGACACACAAAAGACTATGTCACTGTCATCGCTACTGGCAAGGTGTGGTCTTGGGGATCCCAGATCCCTATGGGTAGTAGCAAAGCTTGGGGGAGAAAGGTGCTGCTCACAAAAGAGGAGGATAAAGTTATGGACTACTTAGATAAACTGGACATATGTAAGGCCATGGGATCAGAGCACTGAGAGCTGGCCAATGTCATTGTGGGGCCACCTTCTGTCACCTCTGAATGATCATGGTGTTCATGGGAGCTCCCCAAGGGCTGGAGGCGAGGAGGATCTGGGGAACTTATGGCTGATCAGCTTCACCTGAAGCTCTGGGAGGTTATTTCCAGACTCAGTAAGAGCAAGAAGGTGACTGGGGACAGCCAGCATGGATTTACGAAAGCAAATTACGCCTGACTGGCCTGAGCACGTCTGTGATGAGAAGACTGGCTCTGCAGGCAAGGGGAGAGCAGAAGATGTTGCTTACTTGGACTTTAGCCTGTGATGTGCTTCCCCATAGCATCCTTACAGTCAAGCAGGAGATAAGGACTGGACATGTGGGCTCTGCAACAGAGCAAGGGAAAAGCAGCAAGAGAGTGCACCTTCCAGATCCAGTTTTCTCAATGTTGTTATTTCTAACAGGAAAGCTCATGGCACAATAAATTTCGTCCTGAATCTGAAATTTTAATACATCAAAGTTGGCAGGTTTTGCTACTGTGTGGGAGAGAGCCTCTGGATCAGAAGTCTGCGTTCATTTCAGTGATTATTTTTAGATTAATATGATGTCCATCTGAGCACAGCAATGTACCCTGCTTTCAGACCACACTGAAGTACAAGAGTACTTCATTCAGTCTTAGTATTTCAGTTATGCATCTGCCCACTATCTTGTGAGTACCAGGACTCTGTGCGCTGATTTGTAACACTGCAGTTTAAGCCCATTGGTCTTACCAGCTATTACCCTGTAACATACACATTAGGCCTTCCAAAATTGTGCTAAAAACTGTAATGGATCTATGTCTTCTTAGAGATCTCAAACGCAGATTTCCTGGCACAGAACAAATACTTGGCTTCAGTATCATGCTTTTGAGAATTTATGTTTATGGTTTTAACAGCTTATTCTAGCATTTAAGAACTTCTCATGCTTCTAGATTACACTTTTTTTTTTTTTTAAATGTATACTCTTTGCCAGGGTAGAACCACCTCTATTTAATTTCCTTTATTAAGGGATAATGTAAAAAAGATTCAGATCTGTTTTCCTTTTTTCTTTCTACTTACTCCTCCCCGCCCCACGCTTGCAGCTCCACATATGTAATGCCTAAAAAAAGTCAAAACCCCAAAAGGTCAAATTTTGCACGTGTTGCCCAATTTTGAAATTATTTGATCAGCCTGCTTTCAACACTGACCTGCCAAAACGCAAATTTTACTTGTGCTTTTAAAATCCCTCAAAAAGCATACTTGCAACGCATAGGCCTGGGCACAGGTAGGGGAGGGAAAGGGAAGAAATGACCCGGGAAGCAAGGGAAAAATTATTTGTAGGGGCAGATGAGCGAGGCAGGCTTCAGGCAGGGCTGCGCAGGACCAGCGGGTTTCTTGCCCACCCTTAGGGCCTCACGCCCAGGCCTCGCTGCTCCCTGACCCTCCCATCCCCGCCAGCCAGTGCAGCCCTCCGCAGGGATTTGGGTTTCAATAACATCGGGCTTTTGGTGACCTAAATTTACACCGTAGTGGCCCTCTGCCCACCTGCCCGCCGCTGCGGGCTCCGATGGCCAGGTCCTCCCCGTGCCTCGCCACGAGCCGGCCGCCCAGCCCTTGCTCTCCCCGCCCTCTCCTCCCTCGCCTGCCAACGGGCCCGACGCGGCTGGGGTGGCCCGGCCGGACGCCACCTGTCCTCGCGTGCCTCGGCCGGCGGCGGCACCAGCAGCGGCCACATACAGCTCCAGCGCGGGCTCCTCTCCAGAGGTCACCGGCCATTCCCCTTCCTCCGCTCCCTCCCGCCGGCCAGCCCTGGCACCCTGCCCACACTAAACTTGATAAACCCTGGGCGGGCTGCCATGGGGCCTGCCGGACGGGCCTGACGCTGCGGTGGCGGGGCTTGCCGGTGGCGGGGTTCGGTGGAGACCTCGCCGAGGGGCGAGAAGGTGGCGGCGGCTGCTCTCCTTGCCCACAGCAGCGACAGCCCCTCGCTGCGCCACCGCCCCCGGGCCGTGCGTGCGCCTCGACGGCTGCCTGCTCGCCTGCCTGCAGCAGGGCGTGCGTGCGAGCGGGGTTGTACGTGTGCGTGTGCACGTGCAAAGGTATGTTATGCGTGTGCGTATACGCGTGTGCGTATACATGCGTGCCTGCGCGCCTGCTGTGTATCGATGCACATGCACGCGCATGTGCGTACACCATGCGCGCTGGTGTACACACGGGCATACGTGCGTGCCTGCGGACACGCAGGCCCCTGCGGACATGCCTCCGTACGTGTGTTCATGTGTACGTCCCCTGGCAGGTATGCCTGCGTGCACGTGCATATGTACCTGCGCGTGCCTGTCAATCCGCACACGTACATGTACGCGTACGCGAGCACACGTACGTGTATGTGTACGCGAACACTTCCTTAGGCGCGCGTGGGCGCGTGCCCCCAGCAACCCCCCCGCGCCCCGCTCCTCCCTCCTCCATCCCGCCCGGGGCTCGCCCCC